GGTTTTCACTTTTTCAATTTCTGCTGTTTCTTTAAGTTTTAAGTATAGTGGTATTAGTTGTGCTTATGCTATTGCAGATATGGTTGCAATGTTCTGAATCTACCAATAATTTTTAAAGCAAACTGACTTTGTAATGATAGACTAATGATAGACGGTGCCTAGACTTCTGCGGCATAAGTTATGATTGGTTCTATTACCATTTTGTGTAGCATTGATACATTTTGTGATTGGATTCCCCATGTAGGTCTCATAAATATTAGTTTTTTTATTACTTTTGCTTTGTTTTGTGTATTTAAATTTTTTTATATTTTTGTCGATAATGACTCTGAGATATTTTATTTCATCTACAAGATGTGTTTTATTATTATTGATTATTATTATGTTAAATTAGTAATTTTCTTAGTAAATCCTATTATTTGGGTTTTCTCAGGTGCTATGTCCAATTTTGCATTGGTGCTTCATTCGGTTTTAATATATTTTAATGAAAGGTCGATACTCTGGTCAAGGTTATTTAGATTTTTGAGCTAGCAACCAATAGCAAGTCATCTGAGTGTGCTTGCAAGTGACAATATTGAGGATAATCAAGATCAAGAATCTCATCCATTATGATATTCCAACAGAGTTTGTAGTTTAGTAATATATATATATATATATATATATATTAGTTATATATATATATATATATATATATATATATATATATATATATATATATATATATATATATATATATATATATATATATATATATATATATATATATATATATATATATATCGATATAATTTATTTTTACTGTTCGCTCACTAAGGTAACTGTAGATTGTTTGATAAAAGTTTTTGGAACAGTAAAGTTATTTTGGGCGTTTAAGAATATGTAAATTAGTTGTTTTTTTTTATTAATATTACACTAAGATTAGGCGAAGAATATTCTAGCATTCTTATCACAATTCCAAAATTCTACTTAACTAAGATGCAGGCTTTTATTCTGTCGTGGAATTAATAGATTAGATATTTACAAGCATTTTTAACCGAGTTACTATTTCCTACATATATATTTTAATTCATAAAGAGAGGACACAGTAATAAAAAATACTCTATACCGCCATCAAAAGTACAGCCTCATTTTTAAATAACAAGACTATTAAAGCGTCTTAAAACCCAGGATGCTACTTTAAAACTATCCAGGAGAACTCAGGACACTATAAAACCCAGTACGCTACTTTAAAACTATCAAGGACATTACAGGACACTATAAAAGCTGGACATGTTCTTGGGAAATAGAACGGTTTGCAAATCTATGTGTTTAGATGACGGTATACAAAATATTTTAATTTCCAAAGCTAGGAATGACATAAATATAACGTACCTATTATGTTGTAAAAATATGAAATGCTTGTGCTTGAGTTAAAACAGTCTGTATGTAACGAATAAACTGTGGAATATTGGAAACTTAAGAAATACTGCAAGTAATTTTACAAAGAAATTTACTGATTTTTTTGCAGTATTAGCAATATAAGGCATATTTCTTTCTATGGTGGATTTTGCATCAGAGACAGTCTGTTGCTGCAGGTAATTTTAAATATTTAAATGTATCAGTTGATTATTGACAATCATTATTGTATATTAATAAAAGTTATTTAAATGAGCACTACGACTGCTTGACACATGAATGAATGCTAACAGATGCAATGCTGAGGTATTCTGGAAACGGTAGACAAAGAAAAAATCTGTTTATTAAGAGCAAACATAGAACTATGATACTAAATCTATATACTCGTAATTTTTTAAACAGACACAAAAAAAATTACACACACAAAATTATGAATATTATTATATTTAATCTATATTTTTTCTTTAAGATAAATGTCGATATAGATCTTTTAATCAGAACACATTTACCTTAACAGATAATTGTTTATTTTTTAATATTTCTCTCGGCTGCTTAGGAGAATTAAATACGCTTAAAAAAATCTTCAGTCTCTCTCACCATCTCGGACAGAGTTTTCGATTCTCATCTTGGACACCACCAGAGCGTCCGCTCAACTCCTCTAGCTATAACTCCCACCCCAATGGCTAGTCGACGATGTCTTAGCGATGTTATAGCTGTATTAAGTTTCATATTTTTAATATTTTCACAAATAAATGTGTGCACCGAAGATTCACCAATACTGTTACAAGATGTAGCAATTATTTTAAATCGTATGTATAATGTCGAGAGATCGAGATTATTGGAACGATAACAACATTAATCAGTTACATACAATATTGTATGACGCATTGCGCTTTTGTGACACAGTTTCTCTTGTAACATGCAATAGTTAAATTTAGAATGCAATAAATTTTCAGAACGTATCTAAATAACCACATTAATATGTACATTAATAAACAACATTGTCATGTCATAACATAACAGAACCTAAAAATGTATTTGTTAAGACAAGAATAAATTTTGCAAGTTTGTAGTATAATTATTTTTACCTATGTAGAAAACCTATTACTGTTTGAAAAATACAGTCAACAGCAAGTCAGGTTATACAGAAGTACAAGTTTTCCAAATCAACCGCGGAAACACAAATAAACGCGCTGTTGTTTGTGCCTACATTATTCCGGATGAATATAGACTTTTAACATTATATCTGTCGCAGACAATTAGTTAGAATAGCCAGAGAATTGAACGGCAAGTCCTTAAATTGAATGGCGCCATACTAATTGCTAGTTTATTTAGTTAAGTCATTATTACAGTTGGTACGTTCAATAAGACGGCCGACTTAAAAGCCGCCGTAAAGTTCATTTTATATATTTTTTTGCCGCCATTGTACTAGTTTCTACAGGCATGAGTACTGTTATTTTATTATTCGATTCTATAAATTGGTAAAGGCATAAATATGTACCATAGAGCCTAAATTTTAGTTTTACCTTGTGAGGTAAAGATTGTTTGAAAATGCAGCCTTGCCCTTAGTTACATTTTTAGTTTCAATTAGTCATAATAACTACGACTATACAATCTAAAATAATTTATCAGATGTAGTTTTATATATATTTTGTGCAGTTTTTCTAGCTTGGGAGCAAGATTTAAGGATTTGTTGGACATTTTCTTGGTATAATATAAACATATTCTAGTGTGGTATGAGTAGTTTTAGTTGCAGAAATACTTTACTTCGTTTTATACCTTTATGAAATGCTGGTGCTAATGCGGCTTTCGTGAAAAATGGGGACACCCATATAAATTTCTTACCTTGTATTCGATTATACAAAACAATTTATTAAATAGGCAATAATAAATAACAGATACTATTATGTATGCTAAATGACTAGGCACCTAATAAAAATCAATCACGATTACATTTCATATAAATTGGCATTTGAAATAATGTGATCCTATCATATTATTTTAAAGTGTCAAAGTTTCACGATTATTAGTTGACTACAATTGTTTGTTGTGACAATTAAAATAAATTGATTGATTTTAATGGTCTCTATTGAAATCGGCACAATAAAGAGATTCTTATTGCAGTACATATTTACATTTTGATAATTAAATTATCAATGTTAAATCATTTAATAGTTAATTTTTGACATGAGCTATTTTGAAACATGCCGATGTTACGAAAATATTAGTAGTTCGAAATTTAAAGATGATTGACGTTTCCGATTGGACAGCGTATTGTGATTTAGAGTAGGCCCCTATTCCCAGAATAGTGTCCCTGAATTTAAATAACTTTCGATTCGATAGGGAGATGGCGGATTGGCGGCAAACAGTTCCCAACTGTCAGACAGGTATATGCCTGGTTGCGTAGATACATAGCCTGGATACATAACTCTGTTTTAAATTCGTGTGCTGGCAAATGTCAAGCCGTCAGATCAGCTATCCGCATTCTAAAATTAACTGGATGCGTGCTAGTCATTTTGTTTGGACTAGACTGTTAGCCCAATCGAACGCCTTCAAGAGGTATGCTAACCTGGTACCTACAATGTGTTGCTATTTTAGTTTGAAACATTATTAGACACAATAATTGCAGTAATAGATGTAGATTGGAATAGATAGTGGGTTCGATTCTAGGCTATAAATGGTTTACCTTTAACTTCGACCTTTTTGGTTTGAAGTGCTGCAGTTATAAGTTGAGCTGAGTGGTAAAGCTATCGGGAGTTGCTAGAATATTAGTAAGTTTCTACTTATTATTAGGAATATAGACAGGTTTTATACATATTATATAGACAGGGGTCGGTAAGTAATTTAGTAAGGGATCCGAATATCCATCAAAAATATTCTTAGGTACAGGAAAACAATTTTATATTATATTATTAAAATTTTCTAATGTAGGATTAAAAGTTTGCCTTAACACAACAGTTGCAAAAATTATCTATGCAGTTACGCAAAGATTGTAAAATATGTGTAAATCCTTGGTATAAAGTATATAATTTGTATTTAGAACTGAATTTTCAAATGTCGTAATTCCTTTATTGGCCTCACGTCCTCACTTAAATGAGATTAAGATAGGTGAAAATGGTTAATTGAAATACAGTCGACGTATAATAGGAGTAAGTAGTGTAACGTCAGCCCACGTTCTTTAAAAAATCAGTGTTAATTCTTTTACTATTTAAATCCCACGACCTGTTCCCAAATATAACTCTAGCTAAGCCTGACTATTTTATGAATTAATATGTTCATATTATTTTATAACCTTCTTGTTTTATTATTTACTTATTTACAAGTTTTAGTAATAATTTTGTTAAGTTTGAATTTAAAAAAAATAAGACAAGTTGTTTACTATACATTCAAAAACTGAAATAAAGAAAAATGTGTAAATAAATATGATTATAAATAACAATAAACATGTAATTATAAAGAAATATAAATATACATATGTATTCATTGATAAAATCAATAAAAAGTCTTTATAGGTATGGCTAGAATTAGGCAGCCGCTGCAGCACAAGGAGGTCTTGAGCTGTAGCGGCAATTATTAGTCGGCTATCCTGCACATAGCGCAGTACATACCTCGTCGCAGGAACGGCATCGTGGCTTGAGCCGCTCGTCATAGTGCCGCACGCAGTAGAGCCGGTCGTCCAGCGCGCAGTAAGCCAGCTCTACCAACAACTCTCCACATTCCGAGCACGAGAAACACGCAGGGTGGAATGTTGCCTGACAAAAGCAATTATAAATCATATAAATATGGCGTATTACTGAAATTAATGTCGCCAGGTTGCAGCAGTAGTAAATGTTGTATATAATAAAAACAATGAAATAAAAAAGCTGGCCAAGTGTGTTTGTGAATATTTATTTAAAAAAAATACATCTTCTGTGAAAATTTTAACTGTCTAACTTTCACCATTCATGAGATACAGTCTAGTGACAGACAGACAGACAGCGAAGTCTTAGTAATGGGGTTCCCGTTTTATCCTATTAAAAAGGTGTAAATTGGTCATAATGGTAATTTATAACCATCAAACTTCAGTCACAAAATGTGAAAAAGTAAAGTAATAGTAAACATTGTACGAATAAATAATTAGAAAGAGTGTAATTTAATCCAATTATACGTCATTGCTGCATATTTTCTCCCTAAGAAGGAAAGGAATCATTAATTACCAAAATTAACATATTGTATGTTCGAAAAAATCTAGAATTTGTAATTAAGTAAATAAATATTACACAAAATCTCATATTGATAACTCTCGAGCTATGACTACGACATAGGATATAAAATACATCTTCTGTGAAAATACATTTTATTTTATATTTTTTTTAATAGACTACTAAAAGTTGGTCAGGATTACATTTATGTCCATTTACATTTACCATAAGCTGAAACCTCAGTGACGACGATATGAAACAATAACGACATTAACGCCCATTTATATTTTAAATAAAATACTATTATTTATAATTAGTGAATTTTAATAATTTTACATTGAGTGTATACTCGACATCTATTGTCAAGTAGTGAAATGTGCTAGCGCGATAAATATTAGTAGTCTGTATATTTTTCGAAAGATGGCGTTGTTATTCTGTAGTTGCAAACAACACTGTTATACCTCTTCGTTAAGTCGTGGCGCTTCAATAGCAATACTCCCACTACGTATAGGTTTACTGCACCCCAAACAGTCAACAGATGATCCATGATGCTGTCTTGCAATACCTGAAAATTAATAAAAACATATGTAATTTTTTAAATTAATTCATTTTACACTAAAATCATTTTAAACATTTTTGAATTCGCTGTTTAATCAATAATTTATTGATGAAATTTCACTTTATATATTAATCAAAACTTAATATGGAAATAACACGTTATACTTTTTTCGTCTTAAACCTTTACAAAAAGATATTTTTGTTGAGCTACTCTCCAATAGATGGCGCACTATCACTTACCAATATCAAGTGCGATTTCATTTCTAGCCGCAACGAAATCTTCGAATTGCTTACGATGCGCTTCGTCAATATGTCTACAGTGGGCTAACGAGAGATCTTGCTTCGGTAGTTGAGAAGCTAAGGCTCTGGTTCGCCACGCTCGCCAAGCAGCCGCACCAGTGGCGCCACCTACGCTCGGCGCTCTCTCCGATAAAGACTGCCAGTACAGTTCAGTCTGAAACAATTATACACACAAAATTAAATAAATATAAATCTAATTTTGAGGTAATAAGGATGACTTATTGAATAAAAGTAACTGAAAATAGCTTCTTTAATAACGTTTTAGCTACAAACTTTCATACTAAGAGAAAATACTGAATAGTTGTGTTTTTGAATTAAAACTAACCCGCATAAGTCAATGCCCTATAAATTATACATAACATTAACCTCACTTATTAGCCTTTACGTTAAGATGTATAGGTGTAACGAAAATGTACCAAAAAGTAATATAGTACCTGTTTGGCGGTGAGACCAGGCGGGCTGTCGTAGGAGTGGTGGTTGACTCTTGTCTCCCGCAGTCCAAGTCTTTCTCGTACCGATCCCAACTCCTCGTGGTAAACGGAATGAGTGAGTCGGTCACATCCGCATGATTTACATGTCTTCCTGAAAAGAGGAGAGTTGATAGTGATTATGATGTCGGGTTTTCACATTCTGTCGTCACCGATGTTAACTCTTCCCCCGATGGGGTCTTGGGGGTCAAAGAGAGGACAGCAATGACGACAATTAATAGCATCTCACACAGAGCATTCGCTTCCTTTTTAAATAATGTATAAAGTAAATGAAGATTGATGTAGGCTGGTAAAAAATAAACTACTGCTACTGGAAATGTAAATTATACGGAGACTCTTGGATTAAAGCTAGTTAATTATGTAATTACCGGTTGGTATTGTGTATGTAAAACCTAAATAAAAATACTAAAAACTAGAGGGCAGCATAATCGCGTTCTTTATTCCATATAAAATAGCAAGAAAGAAGTAAGTTATATAAACCTTTGTTGCAGTAGATAGTAATTATATATGTAGTGCTTTATTAATTATCTCGTTCTCACAGTGGCGTAACTACAGGGTGGTAAGTCGGCAAAATGCTACAGGCCCCCAGCTGGAAGGGGCCCCCGGTCAGAGGAGACTCCTTACTCCTGACATTTATTATTACGCAATTAATGAAAAAAAGAATATCCGATGAATTTGCCACGGGCCTCAAACGGTATAGTTACGCCACTGGCTGGCCATGTTTAGTATAATTTCAGTTGTTGAACAAAACAAATAGATACACAGTAAACTCAATAACAATATGTTTATGTAAACAACCATTCATTTTACACGAACAATTAGGCCAACACGTCAACATACACATTAGAACATGGAACGACTCTGTTTATGTCTTGATACTATTGTTTTGGATTATTTGTATGCATAATGTACAAATATACGAGGGATGAAACGGATACTAGGTTGCTATCCGGTATCCGGCCTATCAGACTATTGCGATATAGAGCCGAATATGCGGCAGCTGATTATCCGGAGCTCCGAACTCGTAACTTGACAAACATCCGACATCCGTTCTAACAATTATCTGTTTCATCTCTACAACATACGCAAATAAGTATTAAAAAATAACTATAGAATATAAGGCTTCGAATCTTTTATGCGTTTTTCTATAAATTAAATATTAAACAACATCATGTACATTGCTAAGATTCCAAGATGAGTAGCTAAAGCCCCCGTATTATGGAGTATCTGAGACAACGAAGATACCAAAACACCCAGACCCGAGACAATATAAAAAAAAAACTCGTTTTCTTCACTGACCCGACCGGGAATCGAACCCGGAACCTTAGAGATGGCGACACCTAGTAACTGACGTGCGAACCACTCGGCTACGGAGGTCGTCGCAAAATAGATTTAACACAATTCTTAACCTAATAAAAACACCTTAGATTGGAACTCTATATAAATTCTTAAAGAACATAGTCCTTTTAAAAATTGTAATTATTCAGAATTTACAGTAGGCAACACCGATCTTCATTTAACAAACCTCTACTTATAGGAATAAAATTTGTAATTTTCAAAGGAACATTCTATTGTTTATTTTTACGTATCTGAATGTAAACTTCACATACGAGTATTTCCCAAAATGTGTCAAATGCTAATCAGATCGTGTAGACTCCATAAAATTTTCAATGCATTATACAATAATGATAATTATAAATAGCGAAAGTGCCCACTTGGCATAACGAATTTCGAATAAATTTAAAGTAAACTTCAATGTTTCTTAAAACATTTAACCACTTTTAAGGTGAGTAATATTTTTCACATTTTTAAATTTGAAGTCGGTTCCATTTAAAAAAAAAGTTTTGATTTCATTTTAGTGATATTTTGAGATTGGAGGTAACAATTATCACGCGTACTTAATGCAAATTCATGACTAATATGGTTTTCTCATAGATGCCATTCAAATCAATAGATAGCTTTCAAATAAAGAAAGAATCTTCAAAATTGGTCCACCTAGTAAAAAGTTATGAGGGAACAAACAAGAAAAAAATAAAAACGAATTGAGAACCTCCTTTTTTTTGAAGGCGATTCGAAACTCATATACACTATATCACATAAATAATAGAAATCTTATTATTGTATAGAAAAGGTTTCATTATTGATTGACAATCAACTTCAGACAAATCCTTTCTAAACTTCGACTTAAATTTCATGATTCAACCTTCAATTCAAAAAGTCACACGAGTCAAGTACGTTTGTTGGCGATGCGTTATTAGATTCTAAATATAATATTAACAAGAGGTGAATAGTCCACGACAAAGATGGATATTAATGAGATAATTATATGGGGTGGGTATATTTATTTATTGCATTAATAAAATACAAATGACACACAAAACCATTCACAAACAACGAAAAGAAAACGTACTGTTCTCTTAATCTATACTAATATTATAAAGCTGTAGAGATTGTTTGTTTGAACGGAGATTAGCGAATCTCAGGAATTACTGGATCGAATTGAAAAATTCTTTTTGTGTTGAATAGACCATTTATCGAGGAAGGCTTTAGGCTATATAACATCACGCTGCAACTATTAGGAGCGAAGAAATAATGGAAAACGCGGACGAAGTCGCTGGCGGCCACTAGTTTTTTATTTTAATTTTTTTTTATGGCATGGGAGCAGACGAGCAGACGGATCACCTTATGGTAAGTGATTACCGTCGCCCATGGACACCTACATCACCAGAGGGGCTACAAGCGCGCTGCCGGCCTTAGAGGGAAGGGTTGAGGGGTAGAGGGAAGGGAATAGAGAGGGGTTGGGCCTCCGGTACCCTCACTCACACGACGAAACACAACGCAAGCGTTGCTTCACGTCGGTTTTTTGTGAGGCCGTGGTATCACTCCGGTCGAGGACTATAGAAAAATTGTTATATGTCGTGATCGAAGCATTAGTGAAATATAGTGAAAACCTCAAGTGTTACAAGTAGTAAAATCATGATTCTAATCCTGCAGACCCGCGGTTCTACCGTGTAACTTATTCCAACATTTATCTGTCAAAATAAAGCCGTCTGAAGGCCTAATTTGTTTCTCCGAAAACGAAATATCCTATATTTTCAAAATGCTAATGTGACTCCAAAGAAACGTATTTATCGACAATGTATGACAGAACGGAGATAGGTACTGGTAGGGAGATATTGACTTTCCATAATTCGAGTAAAATAAGCTAATTCTATTCAGAATTCCAGCTTATTATGAGGTCATCAATCGTCAACAATAACTTCTGATTATATCTATCTACTAATTAATGCTTGTTGCTTTGCGTATGAATTAACGATTCAATTTATATGGACATCACAAGCGCAATTGAATCTAATCTTGTCCATCAGAGTCAATTAAGTTGCGCGTTAAGACTTTCTTGCTTTTTCTCTAATTCGAAATGGTTTCATCTGAAGGTTTTTAAGAAGTTAAGAGAAACATCACCTAAGCATTTAGTTTATCAAGCATTGAATTCATTATGTTTTTTTTAAACACCTATTATATTAAAAAGAATGTTAAATGTAGCACAAATTATGTTTGTTACTGAACAATATTGAGGCGTTAGAGAGTATTTAATGAAATCGTTATGAGTCGATCAACAAGGTATTTCAATCCGTATCACCGGACGATCGTTGCCTATTGTATGCCAGTTAGCATTTCAATATACGTCTGCGTCTGCGCAGCATAACGTCGCCGTCTCGCGCCGTTTGTCGATTTAACTCGCACTTCGGGGAATCAATTGGAAATAGCTTACGTTTTCAAAGTATTAAAAATACAAACTTTTGTTTTATTTATTTTTTCAGTAAAAAGGTTTAAATGCTTATTTAAAAAACAGAACAAGTGCGAGTAGGCATCGCGCACGAAGGGTACCGTATTATTATCTATTAAAAAAGTGAAAATTATCACGTTTGTTCTTTTCTGTGGAGTTTTTCGAAATTTTCGAGTTATATACAATTGGTCAACTATTACCAGTAAACTTGTAAAGCTAACTAAGTGTGATAAGTATACTTTTAACTATGGTCGACGATCGTAACTAGTATGATTTTATGCAAAAATGGCAAAGACTCATGAGATCTCATCTGTGACGTCGATTGTAGTTCAAGTATTAATTTAGGTACATACCAAATATAACAATAGAGCAAAATTGTAGTTTTAACGGCAAAAATAATATATATATATATATATATAATAGTGCAATGATCTATTTTCGTTATATGAATGAAGCTAATAATTAAATAAACAGCACAAACATATAAAATTGTGAAAGTAAAACAGATGCATTTGAACGTTATTGCGAAAGGTATTTAGTATATTCATATAAGTACGAAAAAATAAAATAAATAAAGGATATATATGCGATCCTTATCATATTTTATTTAAAAAAAAATTGTTTTTTTATTTATTTAATTAAGGTATCCGCTGAAAATCAGCGCCGTAGCTTGAACACTGCGGCATATTGCTGAGCGGAGACCTTTTTAGTACCTAATTTTGAATTTTCTATTATCAATGTTATATAAACTTTTAATTTAGTGCTTAATAAACGATTTTCTATTCTATTTCTATTCTATATTTTAAAGGAAAACGGTTAAAAATACTCATCAGTTCCAGGTGCGATTCTAACTAACAAACTGCTTAGAGTCTCAGACCTGGGATGCACACGCTCAGACGAGTTTAGATTTTATATGCCTTTATATAAAAAATATCAATATCATTAAAAGCATGAAATAAAAACTTAAAAAATAGAACCGACTTCAAACTTAAAAAAAGTGAAAAATAATGCACATTTCAAAAGCGACTAATTCGAGAAAATGCTATTGAAGTCGGGAGTCTATTATTTAATTAATAACCCACAGAAAACCTTCGCCCGACTATGATAGTATTTTCTTGAATAAGTCGCTTTTGTGATAAGTATTATCTTCACTTTTTTTAGTTTTTAAGTCGGTTCTAAATATTCCTTAAAATAAATATAACTGAACGCAAAATCGATGTTGTTTCTAGGTAATTATTCCGAGTTCTACTAAAAAATAACTTCATCTCCCCTCGATTTGAAGACTCAGATTCGTCGTTAGGAGCATA